TAATAGCTTATATAAAAATATTGCAAAAAAATTTGTATAATTTATGAGTTAAGATTGGTATATCGTGTTTCTTTGATTTGTCCTTGATTCTAAGAATTTTGAAGTGAACTGATTAAAAACCATTGATTCTATTCTATTCTATTACGATATAAAATGTTACACAATTTCAAAAACTTGTCAACTGTTACAATTTACATTTATTGCGAAATCTCCTTACATCTTAAGTTACATTCTGAAATAACAACAGCCACATGCAACTAACATTTCCAAGAAAAATTTATGTATGTATCTATGTATTTGTAAGTGCCTCAAAATATTTGAAAACTGGCAGCCTTATCTGCAACATAATGTTGGGCTAGGTTGGGATTTAATTGCGGTCAGACTTACTATCATGGTCAGAAGTGTGGCATTGTTTTTTACTGCGTATTTCATCAGAGGGGTTAAGGTCGTAAACCTTTTTAATCTGTGTATTCCTGGAATTTTAGATTATACATTATATTTTTCTGAACATGTCGGATTTGCCACACTTTAAACAGGGTCATATAATCAATAAATTCCATTCTGCACTTTAAAACTTTTTCGATTTCTTGAGCAGAGGCGTATAAATAAAAGTCAGCTTTGCCAGCGGCAACAACAAAGCCTGTTAAATAACAGTTAGCGCAGTTGTTGCTTTTGTTAACTAAAAATAGGAACAAAACAAAAAACAAAAGCCAATCGAACGGAAACCCAGCACGAAAGCAAATTGGCAGAAAATCAACAATAAGTTGTAAACAAACTGCTGATTTGTATTATCGTTCGAAAGATATCTAAATTGCATGACCTTTTAATAATATGTATTTTACCCCTACGTTTTCAATAGAATTTTAATCATTTATCTTATAAAGACCATTAACACATGACTTTGGTGAAATACAAATAGTTTACTTATAATGCTATCACTGTTATAGATAGTAATCCCAAATCACATTTTATCTATATATTTAAAGACCCTGGTGAATATTTTCACTTGAACTTAGCAGCTGGTTTGTAGTTTGAAGGCTTTATAAGTAAAAAAAAATTGGCTATGCCTTCAACCAGTTAAATAACAGTTACCACTCTTGTTGCTACCGCCTCAGTTGGCAATATTATATGTGTTTTTGTATTTTTTTTAACACTATAAATAGCCAAAGCAAAGTAAAAGAAAACCAAAAAAATATTGGCAAGGTGTGCTGCTTGGTTTTTATAATACCTCCGTCGCATAATATACCTAGTACATGAGTGAAATTGCAAATTTGTTTACACTCACCTTGGGATGCAGTTGGGTGGCGTTCGGTCCACCTCCCAGGCGGCGAAAAGCTTCATGGGCACGGGTTTCTGGCCATTGGCTCCGCTGGACAGTCCGGGGATTCCGCCGGAGACTCCTCCGCCGCCGGACATGCCACCGCCCCCGCCGCCAGCCTGCATATTGAGCGGTCCTCCTCCTGCGGTTCCACTGCCGCCGGTGCCGCTGATAACGGCAAATTTATCCACCAACTTGGACGACTTATCGACCATCTTCATGGTGTTTCTTTGCTGCTTTTCGAAAGGGCCTTATTTTGCGTGTTTTCGCGGTGTTCTCTGGTCTGCTGTTTATGTACTAATGTTGTTGCACATTATTCCGATGCAAAGTGGGGAATATTTCTCGAGCAAGCACATAATTTTCTGATAGTTTTCACAATTCAATATTTCGAAAGTTTTACGTATTCTGTAGAGATTTGTATGATTTCCTTTTTATTTATTTTTCTTTCTATTTTTTTTTTGGGTTAACCCGCCAATATATGTACACACACAAGCACGCACGTTGGGGAAGGGCGTGCCGCCGCCTTTAAAAAAGAAGCAAAAATCTGTAGTATACAAAGTGAAAAACGAAGGGGGTGGTTGGTGGGGGGTGTGTGTGTGTGTTTTTCGAGAGGCGCGCTGCAACTGCACTTGCAACGGAATCAATAGATATATACGGGAATCTGTTGCGGATTAGATAGCTGGGGGGATTCGGAATCGAAATCGGAATCGGAATCTAGAATCGGAATCGGAAGCTGCTGCTGCTTTTGCAGCTTTGGGTCGCGTCGAAAGTGCCGCGAAAGAACCGTCATGCTCCAGAGTAAAAGTGCGAATGTCGCGTTATAAATCTGGCCCCAGTTCAACTCTCTTTCGCTCTCTCGCCCTCTCTCTCGCTCTTGTCCCCCAACAATAACAATATGTGCAAATGCTTTGCGCACACACACCCGCACGTCCACTCCACTCGATTTTCGCAAATCCCCACTCGTCTGTGTGAGTGCGCACTTTATGCTTTGCTCTCTCTTGCGCGCATAAACAAAAAAGAAAACGCCACGAATTTCGGGGAGCAAGCAAAAGGCGGCACTCGCTCTTCCTCTCTCTCTCTCTCTCGTCGGCACTCGCGCGCGGTTATCTTGCGTTTTGATCACTTTATCATTTGATTTGATTATTATTTACGTTTGGAGCGGTCTTCATCAATTATTTATGAGTTTGGGGCACGTTTTATTGGGCAAATTGTTGCGGAGCAGCGAAACGCGCAGCTTCCTTTTGGTGCAATGGGAGCAGTGTGGCCAGAGCGGTAGCGCTGAGAAATACCAACTGGGCGGAATAGATAAATCAAATATACCAAAGGGTAGTGAATAACGGTAGTCTCCATATGTATTTAAAAAATATTCTAAATCATTAAAGAACACTATCAAATATAGTTAAGTAAAAACAATACCTTTTGGAAGAATATAAACAATTTTATAAAAAAATTTAGCCCCATACCTTATTTTAAATAATTTAGTATTTTAATGTAGTCTATTTTCCCTACCTGTTGACGCGGTCACATTGCCAGCCATTGAGAAAAAAAATTTACATTGTTTACTATACGCCGGCGGCGATTTATAAACAATGGCAGATGCTTGGGACATAAAGTCGCTAAAGACGAAGCGGAACACGCTCCGCGAGAAGCTGGAGAAGCGCAAGAAGGAGCGCATCGAGATTCTCTCAGACATACAAGAGGATCTCACGAATCCCAAAAAGGAACTAGGTGAGCACCGGCAATGGCAACAAGTTGGAGCCCCCGAAAACCCATACATTTGCTCTATTTTCAGTTGAGGCCGACTTAGAGGTCCAGAAGGAAGTGCTGCAGACCCTCAGTTCCTGCTCCCTGGCCCTGCCCATCGTATCCACGCAGGTGGTGGAGAAGATTGCCGGCAGCAGCCTGGAAATGGTCAACTTTATACTGGGCAAACTGGCCAACCAGGGCGCCATTGTCATCCGTAACGTGACCATCGGCACAGAGGCCGGCTGCGAGATCATCTCAGTGCAGCCCAAGGAGCTGAAGGAAATCCTGGAGGACACCAACGACACTTGCCAGCAAAAGGAGGAGGAGGCGAAAGGAAGTGTGGGTCTCACATAATTCACTATGCTAGATTTTAAAAATAAATAATTTACCATTGCCATTACAGTGGAAGTCGAGGATGGAGAACAGCCACAGGAGAAGGCATTGAAACTGGACTCCAGTGCCGCACGCAAAGAGTCCACCAGTCTGGATGCACCCGACGACATCATGATGCTGCTTTCCATGCCCTCCACCCGCGAGAAGCAGAGCAAACAGGTCGGCGAGGAGATCCTGGAGCTGCTCACCAAGCCCACGGCAAAGGAGCGATCAGTCGCTGAGAAATTCAAGTCACACGGCGGAGCGCAGGTCATGGAGTTCTGCTCCCACGGAACCAAAGTGGAGTGCCTTAAAGCCCAACAGGCCACCGCCGAAATGGCGGCCAAGAAGAAACAGGAGCGAAGAGACGAAAAGGAACTTCGCCCGGATGTTGAGACGGTCGAGAGCAGCACCGGGAAGCTACCCAAGACAGAATCTGCAGCCGAGGATGGAGAGATCATCGCGGAAGTTATTAACAGTTGCGAGGCAGAGTCGCAGGAGTCTACCGATGGCAGTGACACCTGCAGCAGTGAAACCACAGACAAGTGCACAAAGCTGCACTTCAAAAAGATCATCCAGGCGCACACGGACGAGTCTCTGGGGGACTGCAGCTTCCTTAACACCTGCTTCCACATGGCCACCTGCAAGTACGTGCACTATGAGGTGGATACACTGCCGCACATAAACACAAACAAACCCACGGATGTGAAGACTAAGCTGAGCCTGAAACGGAGCGTGGACTCCAGTTGCACGCTTTATCCTCCACAATGGATTCAGTGCGACCTGCGCTTCTTGGACATGACGGTGCTAGGCAAGTTTGCTGTGGTGATGGCAGATCCTCCCTGGGATATCCACATGGAACTGCCATACGGCACAATGTCCGACGATGAAATGAGAGCTTTGGGTGTGCCGGCCCTTCAGGACGACGGCTTAATCTTCCTGTGGGTTACAGGACGTGCCATGGAACTTGGTCGTGACTGCCTGAAGCTTTGGGGCTATGAGCGCGTCGATGAACTCATCTGGGTGAAAACCAACCAACTGCAGCGTATTATTCGCACTGGACGCACAGGTCACTGGCTGAACCATGGAAAGGAGCACTGCCTGGTGGGCATGAAGGGCAATCCCACCAACCTAAACAGAGGTCTCGACTGCGACGTGATCGTGGCAGAGGTGCGGGCCACCTCCCACAAGCCAGATGAGATTTACGGCATCATCGAGCGTCTCAGCCCGGGCACCCGCAAGATCGAGCTCTTCGGTCGACCGCACAATATCCAACCGAACTGGATAACCCTGGGAAACCAGCTGGATGGCATACGGCTGGTGGATCCTGAGCTAATCACACAGTTCCAGAAGCGATATCCAGATGGTAATTGCATGTCCCCTGCTTCGGCCAATGCGGCGGCGATCAATGGAATACAAAAGTAGGATTAGCATAGTATTTTCTGTATGAATTGCGACCTCGACTATAGTAAGATAAATTATTATTAAAGCTTTTTACAAAAGGAAAATTCTAATAATGAGTTTTTATTGTATAGCATGCTGATTAAAATAAAACACTATCATATTATATGCCATTAAAGTTCGCTATATTTAAATCCACATATACAGATAGGTTTATTGCTCATACTAGGGGCTTTGCGCGTATTTACAAAAGTGCGATATCTCCAAATAGGGCGATTTTCTAGGTGTAGTATATATTGATTTATATAGAACCCAGAACGTGCACATGTCACTGTCCGCTATGCACGATATCGGTTGTTTGGTTACTCGATTATGATGGTAACAATAACTTATTTGACTTATCAGAGAGTACATGGTTTAAGTTAGGGTTATATACGAATAGAAATGCAACGTACACAATGTGCTCGACTGGCCTGCCGCTATTCATTGTCCATAGGACACCACTAATCCTGCCTAATTCCTGCTAGTGTACTTGGCGAGTGTATTTACATGTCAGGAATGAGAAGATCGGCGTGTGTCCCTTTTCATTGTTTGCTTAAGTTTTCGTAACAATAAATTTGGATTTACAGTAGCAAGCAATAAATTAATTAATAAGTTACATGAATTTCTTGAACATTAACGTGTCTGCGGTAATCGTGTTTTTTTAAGTCCCTCTACCACATTCAGTGGCTTCTTCTAGCGCGAGTTACCACCAGCAGCACTAATCGTCTTCAGCACTATGAAACCCAGCATGGTGGCAGCGGCCACGCCCAGTCCCGCCTTCCACCACAGCTTGGGATCCTCCGTCATCAGGCCGAATTGCCTAAGTGGCTGCATGCGGAAGAGAAAGAATCGAATTAGTATGGCGAAGCGAGGTAAGATTTCGAAAAGGTATTGTAATGGTAAAACTAAGGACTACAGGATGCTGCCGCACACCACGTTAATCAAGCGGATATGGATGGGGATCTGTGCGCCTCATGGAAGTAATACGGGCACCGTGGCAGATGGAACAACAACAGATAGAAGGCTGACATTAGTAACGAGTTCAGTTTGAATGGTAACACTTACGCCGACTCCCACAGCTGTACCAACCTGTGCTTGTAGAACAGTATCCAGGCCGCCTGGAAGCGCCTGCAAATCCGCGAGGCCATCGACGTGAACAAACATCAAACAACACAGATAAAACAGACACCAACCATCACACAAAAAAAGGGGAGAAGAGAAGATAAAAAGATAAGTAACCATTATTCCAAGATGTAGCCCAAATGTTAGATGCATTTCTAAAACTACTGTAAAGTTGTGAAATACTTTGAAGGTATCAAAAAAGTATTTCACCACTTTAAGCCAAGTGTATTAGATCACAGAAAAAGCACCCAACTGTGAATCCCAAAAGGTTTACTCACGGAAAAGCTGCCATGGTGGCCAGCTTGGTATACAGTTCTTTCTTATTGGTCTTTAGGCTGAAAAGGTGCGGTGGTAGCAGCTTGTACTTGTCGCAGAACTCCGATGGCTGCATCAAGTAGTCCTGCCGGCGCTCCTCCATGTCGCACTTGGTGCCCACTATCATGACTGGGATCTTGCTCTCCGCGTAATACTTGATGTAGATACGGGCCACGTACTCAAAGGAGCGGGGGTTGGAGGAGTCGTAGACCAGACAGGCCACGTCGCAGTTGACTTCCTGCGGCTGGAGGGGATCGAGGGCGTGCCTCACGTCGATATCGCGCAGGATAAGGTGTTTTTCCTGACCATACACCTGAACCGAATTGATGCAGTGAACCACATTTGTTTTGAACTCCTTGCCGATTAGTTTGTGCATGTCCTCCACCAGGAAGCCCCTGCACATTCCAGTCTTTCCAGATCCCTTGGGTCCAATCACATGACACTTGTACACGGACCGGCTGCTTTGGCGCTTGGCTAAATCGATGCGACGCTCTCGTGTTACGTGTATTGCCGCCAACTGGCTGTCGTTTTCATGAACATTAAAACCTAAATAGGCCAGATACTCCATTGTTTTCACCACATCGATCAGCGTCATCAGAGTCCAACGGCAGAGCCATCCGTGCAGGGTGACCCAGCCAGTTGTCTCGTTGATCGGGCAGGACTTGCGAATATCCGTGGAGTAGGACCACGGTGAAGCCGGGCACGTACTGAAGAGCATCTTGTGCTCCTCGGGCGACAAAGCTCCGTCCCCATCGCGATCGTAGCGCTCGAAAACGGCTATGAGGAACTGCTGTCCCCGGTGCGAGAGTTCTGTGCTGCTGCCAGGAGGTATTTTCAGCGGGGGCCTTAAATACTCCTGGCACATCTCCAATTGGTCGTTGTAGCCAAATCGCCGCAACACCGCCCAGGTGGTCTCGTTCCTCCCCCGCTGGATGAACAGGCAGTGCAGGAAGAGGAAGCCCTTCAGGGTGACCGCATCGTTGTAGATGCCATCGGGTACGTTCTTTTGTATGACGGCCTTCACCTCATCCAGGATCTGGGGCTGCAGGGGAGTGTTAAAGCAACGCCGCTGGAAAAGATTCAGCTCGTAGTCATTCAGCAGATTGTCCCCGTCGATGTCGCAAATCTTGAAGATGCGCACCAGCGACTTCTTGCAAGCAGATGTGAGCTGGAAAAGAGGTGTTTGGTATTTTGAAAGAGTTCAAGCCAATTTAAGTAGATCATCGCTAGATCTCATTGCTTTTATTGACGCAACGATTACGTCCCAAGCTATGAATCACCATGGTCGAACTAAAAGCACTTACCTCCTGTTCTTCCATCATGTACAGCGGTGAAGTCGGGTGCAGCACAGCCTTCTGTGCGTAGTAAAACATCTCGGAGATATTATGCAGCGTCTTGGCCGAGCACTCCACACAGCTCTCGATCTCGGGGTAGTCCTCCATAATGGCTAGCACGCTGTCCATGGTGGAGTACTCGATCAAGTCGATCTTGTTGCCCACCAGAACGATTGGCTTGCGAATGGGCTCCCGCTGTGCATCACCTTCCGCCTCCGCTTCGGCATCCCCCTCGCCGTCCAGCGAGGGATTGCACTTGGCCGGACAAGGGGCAGCCAGTGGGAGGTGATTCTGTCGAGAGAGTCGTCGTCATCCACGGCATACACTATGCACACCACGTGCGCCTTGTTAATCTCGGCGGCCAGGGCATCCTCAGACTGTTCCACGGCCGAGAAGTCAACGATGCTGGTGGGCACCTGCTCGGGCGTCACATTCGCAGGAATTGTGATCTCCTCGGCTCGCGGAGGCACCTCCTCCGGGTACTCCTCGCTAACCAGCGACAGAATCAACGACGTCTTGCCCACTCCGGCGTCGCCCACGAGCAGGATCCTCACATTCTTGCGCTGCGACGCCGTGTACTGTCCCATTCCGACTGCTCTGCAAGTGGGATGTGCCGCTCCTGGTCTCCTGGTCTCCGGGTCCGCAATCGCCTGCGTTTTGGGCGAATTTCCAAGATTTTGTTATGCAAAAACGCAAAAAAACAACCGAGAGAGAGATGGGATGGCAGTCGATGTATCAAGGTTGCTCTATCGATATACCGCTATCGCAACCCAGCGGCCAGGGATGCCACACCGGCAATCACTGCGATGTTTAGCCCAATTACCCCGACGATTGGGTTTAAATCATACAAATTTAAACAATCTGAATAATTTGGGTTCAGTTGTTTGATTTTGACTTGGTAACAGTATTGCCAAAACTGTCTGGCAACAACATATGTTGGCAGCTGGCTTAGGAGAAGAGCTGCAATGTTGGCTTTTTACCGCCAAAACTAGCTAAGGACAAAATGAGGACCCTAAAAACAATTTGTAAAAAAGAAAAATCAACTGATAAACAAAATCAATTCATAAGAAGCCTCATATTTATGTACATATAACAAATATAAAACGAATTAGTTATTAGTTATTAGTACAATTTTCTTTTAAGTTCACCCCCCTCCGTCAACTCAATTTTTGTCCGTTATCTCTTACCATTCAAACTTGGCTATTTTTCTGGCTCCGTAACTATGCCCGCTAGATTTGGTAATCGATAGTTGGGCAGCACTGGCTGAGCTCCGGAGCTTAGCTTCAGTTTTCAACACCAGAGAGTTTTAAGTGCGGAGAAAAATTATAACTCTGGGATATCAGCAAAATGAATATCAGTCCCAGTTCGAAAGATAAACAACAATAGAGCCTCTCCGTTGTTTATTTGTTTTTCGTGCGCCATTGAGACAAACGCGTGCCACGGCCAACCGAAGAAGTTCAAAGGATAACTTCCCCGTGCAACTTTTGCGGGGTGCGGGCAAGGAGAGCGGCGGGCAGGAGTGCTGGACGCGCAGACAGCGCGGAATCGATATCGATGGTACGCACCAAAAACCAGTCGTCCTCCTCCAGCGCCAGCAGCAGCAGTACCAAGTCACCGATAAAGTCCAGCGGTGGAGCAGGATCCTCGGGCGGGGGAGTCGGTGGTCGCCAGTCCACGCATCGCTCGTCGAGCGCCTCCAACGTTGCGGCCGTTGTCGCCGGCAACTCATCCGCCGGAGGCTCCTCTTCGAATCGCCGTAGTCCGGGCAGTTCGCCAGACGGCGACGACGACACCACCACCACAGATGACCTGACCCCCACTACGTGCTCCCCGCGCAGCGGTCACCATCATCAGTACGGCTACGGCTACTCGTCCTCCGTGCACAAACAGAACCTATACGTCGTCTCGTTTCCCATAATCTTTCTGTTCAACGTTCTGCGCTCGCTGATTTATCAGCTGTTTTGTATTTTTCGCTACCTTTACGGGGCGAGCACAAAGGTGATTTACCGCCCGCACCGACGCGATTGCAACATCGAGATCGTGGTGCAGAATTCCTCCAAGGAGCAGCAGCAGTCGTTGAACCATAACTCTGAGCTGGGCAGCGAGGGTGCTGGACAGGAGCAGCAGTTGTCCAATCAGCCGCAGCGTTTTCGACCCATTCAACCGCTGGAAATGGCAGCCAATCGTCCGGGAGGTGGCTACTCACCTGGTCCAGGTGATCCTCTGCTGGCCAAGCAGAAGCATCACCATCGTCGCGCCTTCGAGTACATCTCTAAGGCTCTCAAGATTGACGAGGAAAACGAAGGTGAGTAGCAAAAGGCGCAGACGGGGGTGGCAGCTCCAGTTCGAGTTCGAGTACTCGATGCTCAATGAGTCATCGCCCGCTGGCTTTTGTTGTCTGTCGAGTGTGAGAATCAATAAGCCGAAACGCGCGCACAAAAGATGCCCCACATGTCAGAGACGGAGGAGGAAACGGGGAACTGGTCCGTCTTGATGGACACTTATTGACTGGCAGTCCTTCAATCAAATGCTTTTTGTATTGGGAACTCAAGGGTATACTGGTGCGATACAAAAATATATTCCTTTTTTTATGATCTAAGAAGAAATTAATCTAGTTATAGTCTTAAAAAGTCCATGTCCTTGTAAGCCAGAAAATTTTAAAAAGGATTCACTTTAATTCATAAGAAGTGAAACAAGTTGGTCAAAACCCTTAAAGGATATCTGAAAGTCGAATTACCCTCAACTATTCCTTTATCATATTTTATTCCAGGTCATAAAGAGCTGGCAATTGAGCTCTACCGGAAAGGAATCAAAGAGCTGGAGGATGGCATAGCTGTCGATTGTTGGAGTGGACGTGGTGATGTGTGGGATCGGGCTCAGCGGTTGCATGACAAGATGCAGACGAACCTTTCAATGGCCCGAGACCGTCTCCACTTTCTCGGTGAGTGCCCGAGTACATGCCCTGCACCCCGGAAGCATTGTTTTTGTTTACCTCATTTTTTGTTATTTCATTTTGCACGTTTTCCCTGGTTTTTTGTTGTTGTCCACCTTGATTTTGTCCACATACTCGCGTTCATCCGATGCGCAGCGCTGCGTGAGGAGGATTTGCAAATGCAGCGTCTCTCCTTAAAGGAGAAGCAGAAGGAGCATTCTCAAAGCAGGCCCCAGAAGTCCAGGAGCCCATGCTGGCGGGCATGACCAATGAACCCATGAAGCTTAACAAAGTGCGCAGCAGTGGCTACGGGCCCAAGGCCACCACCAGTGCCCAGCCCACGGGTAAGTTCCTCACCAGCTAAAGCGCACCCAACAACATCCTCACCCGGCAGCGCCACAGCGACCAAAAGCAGATCGATCAGTCAATCCCTATCACCACTCACTTGGCACTTGATTTTATTACGATTTTTATTTCGATTGGCCAAATTGTAGCTTAGAATGAGTAGCTTCTGTACAGCATCATTTCTGATCGAGTTTATATGTTTCATTCACAGCATCTGGTCGGAAGCTAACCATTGGAACCAAGCGTCCCGTCAATCTGGCCGTGGCCAACAAGTCACAGACGTTGCCGCGAAACCTTGGCTCCAAAACATCCGTGGGCGCAGTCCAAAGGCAGCCAGCCAAGACGGCTGCCACGCCTCCCGCCGTTCGGCGCCAGTTTGTGAGTATCTGGATAAATAAACAACAGATATCTGTTTGTATTTTTTGGAAAGTTTGCATCGCAGCGAAATATTATCAAAAAATCGCCTCATATACAAATTTGGAACATTTCCGGTGGGGAGTTTTATGGGGAATGCTTAGGTGCTGAGTTATATATATAGTTTTCTAAATTGTTAATTTTGTATCTGCAGTCTTCAGGACGTAATACACCGCCCCAGCGTTCGCGAACTCCAATAAACAACAATGGTCCCAGTGGAAGCGGCTCCAACACTCCGGTGGTGAGTGTCAAAGGCGTTGAGCAAAAGCTGGTGCAGCTCATACTCGATGAGATTGTCGAGGGCGGGGCCAAAGTGGAGTGGACGGACATTGCCGGTCAGGATGTGGCCAAGCAGGCTCTTCAGGAGATGGTCATTCTGCCCTCCGTCCGGCCGGAGCTGTTTACGGGTAAGTTGTAAGGAGTGCCAACCAACGTGATTATAACCTTTTCCCAACCTTTGCTAGGACTCCGAGCCCCGGCCAAGGGACTACTGCTGTTCGGTCCTCCCGGAAACGGCAAGACTTTGCTGGCCCGTGCCGTGGCCACCGAGTGTAGTGCCACCTTCCTTAACATTTCGGCTGCCTCGCTGACCAGCAATATGTGGCGACGGCGAGAAACTGGTGAGGGCTCTCTTCGCAGTGGCCGCCACATGCAGCCCTCCATTATTTTCATCGACGAGGTGGACTCCCTACTCTCGGAGCGCAGCAGCAGCGAACATGAGGCTTCACGTCGCCTGAAGACCGAATTCCTGGTGGAGTTTGATGGGCTGCCTGGTAATCCAGAAGGGGATAGAATCGTGGTGCTGGCCGCCACCAATCGACCGCAGGAGTTGGACGAGGCCGCCCTGCGACGATTCACGAAGCGAGTTTACGTCTCACTGCCCGATGAGCAGACCCGCGAGCTGCTCCTCAACCGACTATTGCAGAAGCAGGGCAGTCCGCTGGATACGGAGGCTTTGCGTCGCCTGGCCAAATTACAGATGGATACTCGGGCTCCGATTTGACGGCCCTGGCCAAAGACGCCGCCCTGGAGCCCATCCGGGAGTTGAATGTGGAGCAAGTGAAGTGTCTGGACATCAGTGCTATGCGTGCAATCACAGAACAGGACTTTCACAGCTCGTTGAAGCGCATCAGGCGCTCGGTGGCGCCGCAGAGTCTCAACTCGTACGAGAAGTGGTCGCAGATTACGGCGACATCACCATCTAGTCTGTTCTAGCCAGCAAGCCTGCCCTCCTCCATCACTCCAGTCTGAAGCAGCTGTGATGTGAGTGTCAGTACGTTATTCTTAGCCGTTGCTCTAGTTTTGATCATGTGACCCATCTTTACTTCAGGTTCTATTCAATCTGTAGAATTTTCGTTTCACAAACATTGTTAGATTTGTATTAACCAGTGAATTATTTAATATGATTTGTTTCCATACGATATATTGTGTTTTAGCCTAAGATCATTGTACTATTTTTCGTCGTTTTACCGCCATGTCCATGTGGTGCGACATCCTGTCATGCAGCTCCATAATCGTTATACTCATTTAACCTAGTGTATTTCTAAGATATCTATACTATCCAATGGAGTTGCTAGAATAGTAGTTCCGCCCTGTTTTGGTTTTGAATATTTATTCAAGGGCACATTGCTTTAAAACTAGTTTTAAGTTTTTGGAACATTCCATGTAGTGGCGTTTATTTCGTAAGACAGGCGGCCCAAGAAGTTCACAACTACTTCCATTGTATCCTTGAACCAATAGAGCATATTTTTGTTGTACATTGAGTGCCCATCCACAAGCTACATGTAATCTAGAAGTAAGCGTAGTCCTAAGACCGATGAGATATACTTATACACACCCACAAAGATACATTTACCAGCGCAGAATCGGATTTAAGTTTTAATAGTTATCACTGTCCGTATCTTTAGACTAGTTTAGTTCCTTTGTTTCAATCTATGTACCTACGGCTATAAATACAATCGTCTCCGAATCACCTATATTATTAGTAACACTCCCAAAATGTTGTACCTAGCAGGTGCGTATGGATCTGGTGTTATCAGATCAATCAAAACATCTACACCCGCACATATGCTCGTGCTTATCGCGGTACTTTGAACCAGCTTCTACGCAGCTCGCCCACCCGGAATTTGAGTTCTATGACTAGTTACTAAACACAAATCCAAAACTACATGCATATAAAAATATATAAAAAAATAAATCTTTAGAATACGCTAAATAAAATCGATTTCAAATGACATCAATTGCATCATTATTTCTTAGCTTCATGGCTAAGCTGTATTATTGGAAAGCATTGGTAGTGCTTGAATATTTGTATTTAAATCTGTAGCTTAATTTAACTGACATCACCGGGCGCATTCAAAATAAGCGAAAGTCCATGGAAATGAAGCATTCGTGGGAACTAGTTTTGCATTTAAAGTACGATCCGTTAGGGAACAAAATGGTAAAGCTTTGAAATTTGTATGTTGAAACAGCGCAACACAATGTCATAAGAAAACCAGATCCTAACTCATAGAATTTTAAAGGTTTTCATTCATCTGTAGTTACGTTTACCTTTAAAAATTTGATGAATGAGCAGCTCTCTATCTATTTATTTTGGATACTTTCAAACATTCTTATAAGTTCGACCGCGTTTCCCGCGATTACAATCAATAAAAAAAAATACTGATAACTTCCGAAATACCTGTTTTATGGACTTGGAACGACTGATTGCATATGCCGCCAAAAACCAGCTTATCATGAAATGTATTAACAAAATGAAATATTGTATAGCTTTGTTGCTACAACCGTCCCTATCCTCATTTAAAAACCAACATCTGTTCGTTTTCTCACTTGTTTTATATATTTTTTTGTTTCTTTATTTTACATTTTACATATTTATATCGCATTTCGTTTTCCACATTGGAAATATACAATATGTATGCTCGAATTTACATTCTCTTAGTGACTAAATTTGTTTTTCCTCTTGTTTTTGCATTCGGCTTGCTTGTGGCTTTCCATTCATCCTACTGACGCATCCCTTCCCGTCTTCAGTTTTCGTTGACACATGTTCCACATAGTTACAATTACAATTTGCTTTGTCACGTTTTTTGTTTCGATTGTGTGTGCTTTTTTTTTAGCTCTGTCGCGCGTAATTTGCCTTTTCTCTGATCTGTTTGTTTTTGTTGAACTTCTCATTCGGTTTATTTTGTTTCCGTTTCGTTTATACGCCTATTATCTGCTTAAATTACAAATCATTAAATTATTTTAACACGTACTTAGATTGGATTAGATTGTTACAGCTACCCGCCCATCGCCCGGAGCTTTCAGTTGATGTTGTTTCAGTTGTCGCCGGCGTGGTTCACTTGAAGTTGAGTTCCACGCGCCGCCTCGACCCTCGATTTTGGGGCTTTACTACCCTCGATTCCGATTCCGATACCGATTCCGCTTCCGTCCACCGCAGTCAGCCGCAACCGTAGCCACAACTCCAAACTAGACGACACTCACTCGTGCGCCCTTCTAATCTCCAGCTGTATCGCCACCGTTGATGTGGCTGCTGCTGCTGATGCTACTGCTGCTGCCCACCGGCAGGGCCAGGAGCGGTTCCGACTTTGCTACTACCCGGTATTGTACGTAACCTAAACGTGCGTAATGCGATTGCAACTGCTGCAGATGCGGCAGATGGTGCAGCAGTGGTGGTTGTGGCTGCGGCTGGGGGCGACTTCCCGGATGCTGCAAACGGCGTCGAAGCTGGCGTCACATCTCAGCTCATTGGGTCTGGTATTGTGGCATCGCAGCACTGTACATCATCTGGGGGGCAAGTGAACCATTCGCTGCTGCGGCCGCTGAAGCTGCGGCGGCCGTTACGCCGGGCACCACAGTTCCGGGCACGCCCCATGCCACATTCGGCGGCACCATGCGGTATCCAGCCGCTGAAAATTGTATGCAAGCTGATTAAAAAAAGTTAAAAGGATTCATGGGTGAGGAAAATGGTACATACGGACACCTCCCGCTTGCTGAGCACTGGTAGTGTAGGCGTAGGGATAGTAGCCCTGTTGCATGTACTGCGTCTGCATCTGGGTAGTCGGATAGGCCTGTAAAAAAATCATAGAAATTATTAGTGTCAGTTCGTAAAGATTGATAAAACATCAGAAATTCTAGGGGCCAAAGAAATCTCTAGGTAGCACACTGAGGCACTTATTTTACTACCTCCTTTACAATCAACTCAAAACTCACCGCTGGGGGTACCAGTAGCCCATCTGCTGATAGGCGTACGGATACTGCGCTGTGGCGGCTGCAATCTGCTGGGGCGTCATCATTTGGCCGGGTATCGCCGCTCCTGTGGCGGCTGCTATCTGTTGCTGCGTCATCATCTGGCCTTGCATTCCCGCTCCAGCGGCAACCGCCGCATTTGCCGCTGCCACGGCTGCTACATTGGCCGAGGCTGCTGCCGCAGCGGCTGCGGCATTGAGGTTGTTGGCCGAGTTGTCGCCTCCGTTCTCCTTGCCCCAGAAGCACTTGACCAGGTTTCCGTGAACCTCGCTGTTGTGCGTGTGCTCAATGGCGCGGGCGGCCGCCTCCTTGGTGACAAACTTGATGAACGAGAAGCCCTTGTCCTTAAACACCCGTACGTCTTGGATGGGTCCAAACTGGACGAAGTGCTTGTGCATCAGGTCGTCGCTGATGACGTTCGGCGGGAAGCCGCCGCAGTATACGGTGGTGTTGGTGGGGCTCGACTGATTGTACACCTCCTCGAAGGTGTGGCGCTGACTGCCCTTCACGCCGGACCCATTGCCTCCTGGTCCTCCGCCCATGCCGCCTCCCTGACCACCGCCCTTGGACGGTTCGCGTGGTGGGGGCAGCTTGCGCGTGGACCAATTAGTGCGTATCGACCGCGAGCCAATCCACTGGCCGTTCATCGCCTGAATGGCGTTTTCCGCCTCCGCCTTCTTTACGAACGATACAAAGGCGTAACCCTTTGACTTCATAGTGTGCGGGTCGCGCACGATGCGGCAGTTGGAGATCTCGCCGAAGGGGGCGAATGCCTCGCGCAGGGTCTCCGTCTCAATCTCGGGACTGAGGTCGCCCACGAATATGTGGTGGTGCGAGCTGATGTCTGTCTTGGGCTGATTGCCGGGACTGGTGGCCCAGTTCACCTGAAAGAATAATATAGTTTGTTAATGGATGTGATCAATAAATGTCTGCCCAATTAAAAATAATACATGAGGGCGAATATGTGGAAAAACATTGTGATGTAGAAAGAAAAGCATGTTCATTCTCAAAATGTTGAATATATTTTTAGGAATATTGTGAGGCGATATAATGAATAGTATCAAGATAATGAAACTTAATATTGTGGAAAGCTCTGAATAGACCTTTTTATTTTTCAATTTAAACTAAAAGCTTAGGTATTAAAGAGTAATATATGTGCAAAAACAAATCACGAATAATAGTCAGAACTCACCTTGATTTCCTTATCGAGGAAGAGTCGTTTGTTCATGGCGGTCAGGGCCGTGGTGGCTGCCTGGTAGTTGGAATATTCGATGAAGGCGTACGGATCGTTGCCCGGCTCCCGATGATTTTGCAGCTCTTGACGGGGCCCATGGTGCCGAAGAGGGCGATGAGCAGATCCTCGGAGACTGAGCTGTCGAGGTTGCCCACGTAAAGGGTCTTCGGCTGTGACTCGTCCATGGCTGGCGGATGTCCTGGGACTGTGGCTTCGGTCGGGCTTTACACTAGGCTACGGTGGCAATCTACAAGGCTCTACACTCAGACCGGAATTGCAACAACTGCAACTGGCCGCATCAATTTAAATCGGAAGGGTCAATATCAAAAATTTGCAGATGATGTTCCTAGCTACGTACAAAATCTAATTATGTATCTGCTTATTAAACAGGTGTCTTTGCGGCAATCTAAAAGGTGGCTAGCTGCTAACAGAGAACTCGGCTAGAAATTTAAATACTTTCGATTTTCTACTACTATTCGACTCACTCTCGACTTGGCTGGTATTTGGATTATATAAACTATATATGCTGCATCTAGGTAGGTAGATCTTTATGCTTAACGCTGAGGTTCGTCGTTTATTGCTTTGATTCGTTCCTAATCTGGCGCCTAATTGAAAATTTCGTTAAACATCTATATGTATATGTATAAATATATCTGTCCTAACTAAACGCTAATGGAGTGTTTTGGAATATACGATTTGTCGCCTATATATGTATGTATAATCGGGTAACTCCGCTTCCTGGGGGCCTGGGATACGGATACGGATTCGGGGTTCCTTGGGGTACACGGTACTTGGTACTTCAGAATTGCTCAATCCTTCGATTATCTTGGGTGTTGGTTTTATAATAAATATATAATATATATATGAAGTTGTCCGTTCCAATATACAGAATTGTATAAAATACTTGGTTCGGCTGCTTGTTCTTGTTCTTGTACAAAAATTAGTTGGCTATGTTGTTGAACAGTGTGAAAGTTCGCAGGTTAAGTGTTGTTTTTGGGTTTCGAAGCTGACCCCTGGAATCGCTGCTGCTGCAAGAGAGGGGAAGAGAGAGAGGGAGACTTTGGGTTAGTTGAGGGCTGATAACCGGAAGAGTGGGACAAGGTCTAATGGCACATGATCGGCGGGCTTAAACCAGGCAAATGATATGGATATAAATCGACTACCCCGCCCCGCCCCCTTTCGCATGAGGGGAACAAAGAAGGCGGCAAAGCAGTGCAGGGAAACGCACACACAGACGCACGCTCCCTCGCACGAACACACACTAGCACACATTCAGGGCAGCAGGGAGTGTGAGTGAGATGGCGCGTGAGGGGAAGGGAAAGAGACTGCCTGCTTTTATAACAAAGCGAATGGATTGACAATAGCCATTCATTCGCAACGAATACGCGGGCCTTGCAAAATGATTTAGTTTATAATTAAGAAATTGTTGTATTCAATATTCCGAGCAGTTTAGCCAAATTCTTTTTGGGCCACTCACGCACATCACACACACACATTGGAATCGGCACACCAACGCAGCAACGAATTAGAGGGCGAAAGGAAAAACGAAAATCGACTAGAAGATGAATGACCGTCGATAACAAAATGAGGAGAAAGGAAAACAGGGTGAAAGAAGAGAAAGATGAGGGAAATTTGCAAAACCGGCGCATTAGATTCTTGTTCTTTGCTCTTTGCGAAATGAAATCAAATTTTAATTTGCATAGCACTAAACTTGATTTTGATTATTTTTGCGACAGCGGCGGCGGCGGCGTAGAAAATGTCAGTCAAAGTCACAGAACAGAAGAGGCGAAGCGAAGAGGCGAAAAGGGAATGGCGGGGTGGTTTTTTTTTTGTTGCTCATTTGCTGCTTATTTTCTTCGTCTCTTTTCGCACACGCACACACACACACTGGCACACACAGAGAGGCGTCTTGCGCTGGTCTTTTTGTTTGCGTTTTGCTCACATGAGTCGCCACTTTTCTTTTGCTTTTGCTTTTTTTTCGGTTTTGGCTATCGAGTGTATTTAAACTAATGCCAATATACCAATACCAAGGCGATTTGAATGCGGGACTTTTCATTTGCCTTTTCAGCTTGCCGCTATATGTATGTATGTATGTTCGCTTTTGTGCTGCCATCTTTTAATGCCGCTCCCCCGTCTCCCTCGGCCGCCACGCCCCCGCCCCCGCTCGACCCACCCAGCGATGCCGAAAACTGGGCTCAACATTTATAGTCGCCGCCGCGCTATAGTTGCATTATGTTAATGCCCATTGTTCAGATTCAGACTTCGCTGCCAAAATCCGCACTCTCTTTTCTTTAATGCGCTCTCTGTGACGTGGCTGCGGTTGTAAATTTACCGCATTTTACTTGCTCAGCACTCTTTTCGCACACTTCACTCAACGATCGGGCTTAGCCGCTACCGGTTTCTGTTTAAATTGCACAACTCTCGCTGTTTTGGGGCAAAAGTACATACGTTAAACGCGTCGCTAAATTTTTACCTTCGTCGTCTAAAATGCGAACTAATTAATGAGATTTTGTGTGCGAGAGCCAGGGCTGCCAACTCGCTGGAAAGTAAAAACGCAATGGCGGCAAGCAGGGAAATGCAAGAAAAGTGTGGAAAAACCGCGGTTTTCTTGGAAATTATTTATCTGGAATATTTATTGGGTTTCAGTGCTTTATTAGCAAAGATCACTTCTTATTCGCGAATTTAATTGATTTAAAACAAAGTTATCGAAAAGGGGCAACCCTAGGGCAGCCGATATCGCTTGCATCACCGCTTTCTCTTTCTAACACACGCGCCGCGGCCGCAGATGCATAGCAAAGAGGAATAGAATTAACAATCGTTATCGAAAAGGGAGAAAGACAAAATGGGCATAAACATTTTGATAAACAATAAATATTTAATTTCCGAGGATTTCATAGACTACGATGAGCTATACAGCCGGATTGAGGAGAACACAGTGAGTATCTAAGTTAATTAAAGAATTTATGAGATTGCTTAATGGGGTGCTCATTTTACAGAACTTGCAACCTGAGGATTACTACCTGGTGAGCAATGGCAAACGTTTGGAGGAGAACTGCCTCGAGGAGATGTCCACTGGTTCTGCGCCAGTGGGTGGCAAGGGAGGATTCGGGTCCATGCTGCGAGCCATTGGCGCCCAAATCGAAAAGACCACAAATCGCGAGGCTTGCCGGGATCTGAGCGGTCGTCGCCTGAGGGACATCAACGAGGAGAAGCGGGTGCGCGCCTGGCTGGACAAACAGGGTGAGCGGGACGGAGGCCGAGGAGCGGAAGAAGCGAAAGATCGAGAAGCTGCTGGCCGTGCCAAAGCACGACTTCAAGGACGACAAGTACGAGGAGGCCAGGGCCAATCTCACCGAGAAGGTCAACGACGCCTTCGAAGAGGGACTAAGCAGGCGGAGGAGATTAAGGAGAAGCAGGCTCAAGCGAAGGCCCAGGAAGCCTCCACCAGTGGCACCAAGAGAAATCCCCCGCCGAAGACAAGACCAAAGCCAAAAAGAAGAAAAAGGGAGCTCTCTGGATAGGCGATGACATCTCAGGATCCGATTCGGACTCTGACGACAGTGAGGAGGAGCCGGAAACACAGAAGAAGGCCATAAAAACTAGAGAATATGTTACATTAAGTACTACTTTTTAAATTCATAAGTTTAAAAACGTAAAAATAGACCAAAATCATCCGACATGATAATAAAAGAACTAAAAACGAATTAGCATTAAAATTTGAAAGATTTCGATTTAATACTATGTACTAAGAGGGTTAATAAGTAATTGTATAAATAAATTTGAATGACCAAAGAGAACATCACGGCGACACGAATTGCGAGGAGACCCAGGCCAAACCCCACTTCAGTTGGTCAGCATGAATTTAAGGGCCTTGGTCCACTGCTCCTCCGAGTTAAACTGGATCCTGCAAAGAACCCATCATTACTATATGCAAATCATAATTGAACCCAAAACCCACTTTATGGAATAGGAATTTCCCGTGGAGGGATCAATAATCTTGCCCTTCTCCATTTTGTAGGGCAGCAGGAACTCGGTGTCGCGCTTCTCCACCTCCTTCTGGAACTGGGTGAGGCAGTCAAGGAAGGCCACCATGGCAGCATCGAACTTGGTGTCCCAGAAGAACTTAAAACCGCCGCTGCCGTACAGCGGAAGCTCCCGATTCTCGCCGAGCACCTCCACGTATGAATGATTGCCGAAGGGCACCACACGATAACGCTCGAAGGTGAGACCGATTTTGCGGGCCAGCGCGGAGAGCAGTAGCACCGTCTGGCCCCAGGCGGCATTGATCTCGGACCAGTCCACGGACACCGAGGGTAACCGACCCAGCCTAAAGTTATTGATGGTACCAAAGTGCCCGGCATGCCAGATGTGAAAGGTGATGTTGAATATTTGGTGTCGCGCAGTTTGTCCAGCTGTTGACGCGAGTAGGCAATCTGGCTCTCTAGACTTCGCTTATCATCCTCTGTGAGCATTAGCTCACGCCTGTGTTGGTGTACTCGCGCCAGTAGCTCTCCTCCTGCTCGTGCAGCTCCTCCCGTTCCTGTTCCTCCTGGGCAATGGCCTCGTTCAACGAATGCTCCTCCTTCTTGAGCTCTTTGAGCTCCGACAGAAGCTGTTGCTCACTGCGCTTCAGTTCGTCCAGCTCCTTGTCCACGCCTCCACATTCGGCGCCTCACGCTGCTGCTCCAACTCGTCCAGATACGCCTTGTAAACATCCCACTCGTCCTCGGCGATGCGCAGTTCCCGGTCCATGATCTCCAGCATAGAGTCGGCGCACTCCTCGCACAGGGGATGGTCAATCTCCGAGTTGGAAGACAGGCAGTCAAAGAGCTCCGCTTTAGCTTGAAGGCGGCACTCATCTTCTTGTTGTCCCTGCCATCGGAGACCAGCATAAACCCAGTGCCATTGATCGAATCCGTCAGCCTGTAGGGCGGCACAAAGTGGTCGAAACTGCTGGCGTCCTGGGGGTCCAAGGTGTTGCCATTGTCTCGGTAGATGGGCACTGCAAAGGGTGAATCATTAGAGGGATTTCCTGGGTATTTTACCCACCACCTACAAGATAGCTCCGCCATGGCGTGCACGCTTATCTTCTCCAGCTGCTCGTCCAGGACGATGGGCTGCAGGCAGCGCTGGCAGGCGAAGGAAACCGCCTGTTTCTCCGCCTCGCTCATTGTTGTGGCTTTTGTTGTCCCTCGATTTTGCATACAATTAAATTTTCCACCCAAGTGTAAAAAAACACAAATAATCCATCAGCTGTTGGCAGCTGCTGCCAGAGTTGCCACCCCTGCCGATAAAAGAGTGTCGAAAAATGGCGCAGTTAATCGGACAGTAAATTGTCAGTCAACAGGGCAATAAAAAATAAGAAAAAGCGAAAAAAACCAGTTTTAAACAAAAACATTACCCAATTGTGTCTGGCCGAAGGGGCTAAGCGTGCCGCGGAGCCGCAGGCCTTGACCACCATTCCTATTCCCGCCGATAAGAAGAACTCGAACGGATTCGTTTTTAGTTTGTTTTGGTAAGCCAACAGAACGTTAGACGCAGCGCCTCGTCAGTGCTGCCAAGCTAGCTAAGAAAAAAGCTAAATGTAGCTATTCTTTACAAAAAAGGTTTTTTTTTATTTCAGCATTACTTTACTAGAATTGGGCGTTACAAAATACGCAAAGTTAAGAATTCACTAAAATAGAAATACAGATCGTGACAGTTTTTTTTTGACTTTAAAAATGTTTCGGAAAGCCACAATCTTATTTTGCATTTGTTTATTTATATCCAACGCTACAAGTAAAGACTTATATTTATTGCGTTAATCACAGCATTCCTAAATATAGAATGTTTATGCTTTGAAAAAAAATGCTAAGACATATGGAGCTCCAAGTATTTAAAAAGTTATAAACATAATTAAACACAAACAAATCAAAACGAATTTGATAATATATACGTCATTTGAATTAATTTGAACTTTGAAGATGAGAAATGACGTATTTGGTACCCCACATCTAGGCAAATATTAAAGGTTAAGGACATTGACATCCGCAATCTGCGTGTTGTGGTTGGACGCCACAAACGATGATAAGCGAAGAAGGTCCAAGAAAGGAATAAAAACATAACAACATAAATAACCGAAGAAGAGAGACTGATAAAGATTTGCAATACAAACTAGAACATTTAAAAAGTTTATTTGCGAGAGGAACTTTGTTATTGTGATGTTTACAGTTAAACAAATTCGAATATTCGAGTAATTGGGCAGCCCGAGTTTCGGCTTCCGTAATCTAGCTCTCAAAAGCTGGCAGCACTGGCGGTGGTCACATTGTAGCCTCTTCGCTTCTGACGACCCATGGAAAACTTTCAGTCTCTTGCAGGCAGCTCAGCGATACGGAAGCAACAATTGGAACATCCAGAATTCCCACTCCCCCGCACATTTGAATTGCGACATACATAGAGTGTGCCGTGTGAACCAGTATCCCCCCCAAACCGAATGCCAGTCTAGTGTTTTGTTTTGCATCTGTTTCTAGTCCCTAGCCGGAATTCTAAATTCGCGGATTTTCACCGCTCAGTCCCAGTCACTTGACAGCCCAGCCACAGCCGAATTAATCGCGCCAGATTAAACAAACAAAAACAGAAGCAGTTCCACATCGTGCCATTTTATCTGGCCAGAGGCATAGGCATAGCAGACGTGATTACGTGATTAGCAGTGCCGCGGGGGCTGCGGTTTTATCAATAGAATAGCAAGAGCAACAGCAACAATGGTTTCCTACTTCGTACCTCGAGGCCGCTTCCTCCTGAAGGCCGGCAATCTCAGACAGGTGGTGCAGCAGCAGCATCAGCCGACCCAGCTTCAGCTGCAGACCATCAAAGGACCCCAGCCGCAGGCTCAGAATGCCAGTCTGCCGGTGGCCCGACACTTTAGACAGTTTTCCTCGAATTCCGCCTCCAAGGAGGCGCAACTACACCACAGGCGACCACAGCACAAGCAGCAACAACAGCCCAATCCCAGCCAGGAGTTGGCTCAGCTCCGGCGCAATATACTCTCACGATGGACGGGCTTCCTGCTGCGCTGGGCTCCCATGGGCATCTGTGTGTTTGGCGCCATCGAGTGGCAGCTGCAGAAGCGTCGCTGCGAACAGGAGGGTCAACCCAGGACCGCCTCCGAGCTCCAGTCGCGCATCTACTGCTCCCTGCCACTGCGCATAATCAGCCGCTGCTGGGGCTGGCTGGCTGCTTGCTACTTGCCACCGAGTCTGCGTCCATATGTCTACGGCTGGTACTCCAACACGTTCAATGTCAATCTAAGCGAGGCCCAGTATCCGGAGTACGAGCACTACAACAGCCTGGCCGAGTTCTTCACAAGACCGCTTAGGGAGGGTGTTCGCGTCATCGACCAGAAGGCACCGCTCGTCTCCCCAGCCGATGGCAAGGTCCTGCACTTTGGTAGTGCCTCAGACTCTCTGATCGAACAAGTCAAGGGTGTTAACTACAGCATCGAGGACTTCCTGGGCCGTTGGAACTTTGACAGGCCAATTCCGGTGCCTCCTACGCGCAGGCACTCAAGAAGCAGAGCGATGGCTCCACCGAGCTGTACCAGTGTGTGATTTATTTGGCCCCTGGAGACTACCATCGATTCCACTCACCTACCGAATGGAAGCCCAGCATCCGACGTCATTTCTCCGGCGAGCTGCTCTCCGTGAGCCCCAAAGTGGCCGGCTGGCTGCCTGGCCTGTTCTGCCTTAACGAACGTGTGCTGTACATGGGCCAGTGGAAGCACGGATTCTTCTCCTACACCGCCGTGGGTGCAACTAACGTGGGATCCGTCGAGATTTACATGGATGCCGAGCTGAAGACGAACCGTTGGACTGGATTCAATGTCGGCAAGCATCCGCCCAGCACCTACGAGTATGATGAACTGGCTCTGAACCAAGAACCAGCTGCAGTGCCCAAGGAGTTCGGCAAGGGCGACCTGGTGGGTCAGTTCAACATGGGCAGCACCATTGTCCTGCTCTTCGAGGCGCCCAAGAACTTCAAATTCGACATTGTCGCCGGCCAGAAGATCCGAGTGGCGAGTCCTTGGGCCACATTGCGGGGGCCAAGTGAAAGGAGGAGCCCCAATCATGTACCGAATCAGTGCAAAGTCCTGTCACCCATCTGTTCACATCACTCGTTGTATTAGCATTAGACGCTCGTGTCTCAGGCAAATGTATTTTGTGAACATCCTGCGAAGCTAAAACTGTGTATTGTTGCCATTTCTTTAGTCGTAAGCTATATTTTATACAATAAACGTCGAAATATCTTTGAGAACAATGAGAGCCCGTCAATTAACTCATTCAGGCACGCGCTTCTTAAGTAGAACACCGATTGTTGAGGTGGGGTAGGCGTTATCAGAAACGTTGTGATAAGCGTTACCGCTCCAAACCGCAGTCAATGAACCCCCTACCGTTTAGGACTCAGGAGACTACGCCTGGGGCCGGCTTATCGGTCAAATAGGCCTCCGAGGGAGGAACCAGATTCGCCTTCTTTTCCGGATGTCAGGAAGGCTATCAGTAAACCTGAACCAAAAAAACATCCATTCTTGCTAGACAAGCGCGTGCCGCTGCCGATGGTGAGATGCCCAGTCGTCTATGCCTCACCCCACCCATGTTTACTTCAGCGCCGAATCCGGGATCGCAATCCATTCCGTTTAATTGATTCAATCAAGCCCGGCCGGCGGGAATCTTGTTCGTTGAACTTATCAGGCGTTTACGGGTGATTTCGTCCCAGGCCTTGACACACACATTCGCCCTGGCAACAGATGATTGCGACAGAGCATCTGCGTCAGCCGACATTAGGGTAATCGATATGATGATTTTTGAATGTGGCGCTCTTTCTAAGCCATACAATGCTGCCAATTACTAAAATGTTATTTTAATACTAGAAAGGTTTCTGTTTTTAATGTTTTTTGTAATAATAATTAAGAAAAAATTGGAAACACAACATTAATCATTACATTTCTGTTATATTTTAGGGAACTTTAATCTCATTCAATTTAAGTGGAAGACCTTTTGAAAAAGTGAATTAAGACTTCAAAAAATGTTAAATACTAGTAGATTAACAAAGAGTTTAGCCTACGTTTTAAAGGTGTTCTAGGAACATGACCTCAATAAGTTAATTTCAAATATGGGCGCCAAAAGATATTCACCTGCCAGTTAAACTGACCTCACTGTAGAAATGTGGTGAATTGAGTTCAACAGCTGTCAGCCGGCATTCATTTGTTGTTCTGTGCAGTTTATATAATAATTCTTATTTGTTGTGAATTTATTTATTAACCCAAATAAAATGCTGATGAGTCGTTGCTTGATGGCCTTAAGGGTCGCCAGATCCCAGATGTCGGCCAACGCAGCCGGAAAACCCCAAAACCTTATGCAGCGTTTCTACAGCAGCAATCCGCCAGCAATTGGAATTGTGGACTACGATGTGGTCAAGAAACTGCCCAGCGAACCGCAGAAGCTTCTCATCGATGTCAGGGAGCCGGAGGAGCTGAAGGAGACCGGTCAAATCCCCGCCAGCATCAACATTCCCTTGGGAGTGGTTAGTCAGGAACTGGCTGCCAGTGGACAGCTTTTCAAGTCCAAATATGGCCGGGAAAAGCCGAAACCGGATACGGAAATCATATTCCACTGCAAGATTGGCAAGAGGAGCCTCAAGGCCGCAGAAGCTGCTGCTGCTTTGGGCTTCAGGAACGTTAAAAACTACGAGGGATCCTGGTTAGATTGGGCCGAACGGGAGGGCTTGCCCAAGTAAATAATACGTAAACTTGATCTTATTTCTTAAAGGTAAACCTGTGGGAATTCTGTGAATTGGTGCAAAGCACCATAATCATAAAAAACCCAATTTTCAAAGTAAAAACATTGCATAAGTTTTGGCAAGTCGTAAATAATATTTATTAAATACTACTCCTTGGCATATTCTAATTAAATATATCTTAGTATTCCTTCAGGAGGATATTTGGTTATGAGATCTACATTAGTGGAACAACTAAGTAGGAGGACCAAGTGACTTAGTCCACCTCCTCGACGGTGGGCCCCTTGTAGCCGCCCGCCTGCTGTCCACAATTGGGAGCCTGCTGGCGCCCATCTCCTCCTGCCTGCTGGTGCATCTTGGTCATGATGGGGCTGCAGAACTGGGTCAGCTCCTGCAGCTTGTGCTCGTATTCCTCCTTCTCGGCGGTGGTGTTGCCATCCAGCCACTTCACCGTCTCGCTGCAGCGCTCCAGAACACTGCTCTTGTCCGCCGCACTAATGCGATCGCCACCCTGCTCGGCAGCCTCCTTCACACTGAACACATAGCTCTCCAGTTGATTGCGGGCGGCGATCCGCTGGCGATGACGCTCATCCTCCTCGGCGTACTTCTCCGCCTCGCTGAGCATTCGATCGATATCCGCTTGGGAGAGACGTCCCTTGTCGTTCTTGATGGTGATGTTCTTGGCATTTCCAGTGCCCTGCTCCTTGGCGGTCACATTCAGAATACCATTAGCATCGAGATCAAAGGTGACATCGATCTTGGGCACTCCCCTGGGAGCGGGCGGAATGCCCGTCAGGTTGAAGGTGCCCAGTACGTTGTTGTCCTTGGTTAGAGCACGTTCGCCCTCGAACACCTGAATGGTCACCGCCGGCTGGTTGTCCGCGTAGGTGGTGAAGGTCTTGGACTGCTTGCATGGGATGCGGCTGTTGCGCTCAATCAGCTTGGTCATCACCCCGCCGGCGGTCTCAATGCCCAACGAGAGTGGGGCCACATCCACCAGAAGGACGTCCTTAATCTGACTGCTTTCGTCGCCCGACAGGATGGCCGCCTGGATTGCAGCTCCATAGGCGACCGCCTCGTCCGGATTGATGGACAAGTTAAGTGTCTTGCCGCCGAAGAAACTCTGCAGCAGGCTCTGAACCTTGGGTATGCGCGTTGAGCCTCCCACCAGAACAATGTCGTGGATTTGGCCCTTGTCCATCTTGGCGTCATTGAGTGCCTTCTCCACCGGCTGCAGCGTGTTGCGGAACAGGTCACCGCAAAGCTCCTCGAATCTGGCTCGGCTCACCTTGGAGTAGAAGTCATGGCCCTCGAACAGGGCGTCGATCTCCAGCGAAGCCTCTGTGCTGGAGGAGAGGGTTCGCTTAGCCCGCTCGGCGGCTGTGCGGAGACGACGAAGTGCTCGTGGATTGGAGCGCAAATCCTTCTTGTACTTGCGCTTGAACTCCTCGGCCAAGTGGTTAACCAGCCTGTTGTCGAAGTCCTCGCCTCCGAGATGGGTGTCTCCGGCAGTGGAGCGCACCTCGAAAAGGAACCCTCGTCTATGGTCAGAATAGAGACATCAAAGGTTCCACCGCCCAGGTCGAAGATGAGAACATTGCGCTCTCCCTTGAGATTCTTATCCAGTCCGTAGGCCAGTGCTGCCGCAGTGGGCTCATTGATGATGCGAAGCACATTGAGGCCAGCGATGGCGCCGGCATCCTTGGTTGCCTGGCGCTGGGAGTCGTTGAATAGGCGGGCACTGTGATGACCGCATCCTTGACCGTTGTGCCCAGGTACGCCTCCGCAGTCTCCTTCATCTTGGTTAGCACCATCGAGCTAATCTCCTCCGGGGCGAAGCGCTTTTCCTCGCCCTTAAACTCCACGCTCATCTTGGGCTTGCCGTTGTCGCTGACCACACGGAAGGGCCAGTGCTTCATGTCCTCCTGGATCTTGGGGTCGTCGAAGCGGCGTCCAATCAGACGCTTGGCATCGAATACTGAGTTCCTGGGATTCATGGCCACCTGGTTCTTGGCGGCATCTCCAATCAGGCGCTCTGAGTCCGTGAAGGCCACGTACGATGGTGTGGTGCGGTTGCCCTGGTCATTGGCGATGATCTCAACCTTTCCATGCTGGAAAACACCCACGCAGGAATACGTGGTGCCCAGATCGATTCCAATGGCTGGCATTTTTGTTTGTTTTTCTCGCTTTTGTAATGGAACTCGGTAGATTATTTGATTGCACTTTCTTATGAAAGGTGTTTACTTTTACTTTTTTAATTTTTAGTTCGTTTTCAGTTCACTTCTTAAAATGTTTTTCAGTTTCCAACTGTTAATTTTCTTATTTTCCTCGCTTGTTTGAAGTGCTTTCACTTTGGTTGCTTGATTTCAAATGTGGCGCCTGGGAAATTTGCGCCGCTATTTATACTCGGCTGCAGTGGGGGGAAAATTCGAGATTTCCCTGCGAGAACAGGGCAGAACATTCGAGGCATTTCGCGTGGGTGCGAGCGAGTCAACTAGTGTGCACTCGCAGGGGAAATTGTAAGAGATGAAAGGAGTAGAACGTTCAGGAACAATCGAGGGATATGACTTTCAGTGTCGTAGGTCAGCACTAGATATATTTATATATACATACATACATATATCCATTAAAATAAGTTCGTGTGCAGGCTATTTTTGGCACAGTTCTTTGTATAAATATAAATTAAGCCATTCATATTTTTAGATTATGTTTATTTGCCTTATTGACGTCTGTATAAAAATACATACATATGTATCTTTTATTTTAGTTGTCCCATCAAAGCCTTATAATTTGGCCGAAAATTTATCACGCAATGACTCAGACATTTTCGACATGTTTTTTTGATTTACCAAGGAAGAATCTTGTAGCATCATACGAATCGGACTACTATAGCCCAAAACTATTTGTATATCCTTAAACTGTATTGTTCAATGTACATACTAAAGGTCGCAAAAAGTTGCTATATTATTGTTAATTAAATACATTTGGATGAAAAAATAATCGCAAGAAAGCTCCTTCAAAGCTTTGTGTTGCACACATGAATCCAAAGGCATCATTCAAATATGCAATAATGACGGCAAACAGCGAAAATTCATCAACAATTCATCTATGACAGAACTACTCTGTCATTAACAACTCATCGATGACAGCAGCAAGGCTTTACATCAAGGACAATTATTAATTGTAAGGATCGCGAGCAGATCTGTCTCGTAGGGCTCCGTGTTTGAGCGGAACGTCTCCGAATCTTGGATTTGAAATGGGAATTTGAAATGTCTTTTAATAAGACACCATTTCCTCAGTCTGGCAGCACGGTTTTTTTAAATTTGCAGAGTAATTTTAAACTATGGTTTGTGTCCAGACTAAACGCATTTATTAATTTCCCCCGGAGGAAATTAATCGATAGTCACTCTATCGATATGCGATAAACTATCGTTTTGGTATATTATCGATAGTTAAATTCCCACACCCTACCATCCCTAGCGTCTTGTTACTTTCCAGCGAAAAAAATTAATTTCGCGCTCTTATTGTTATTACTCGTGGATTTTTGCGCAACCCAAGGTGCGAATGGCCGACGAGGACGATGAGGTGTCCCACAGGATGGCGGCGGGGCCCGTCCGCAAGCCGGACGACGAGACGGCCTTTCTGGAGTTCATCGAAATGGAGAACTTCAAGTCCTACCGCGGCCACATAGTCGTGGGTCCTCTCAAGCAATTCAACGCGGTGATCGGGCCCAACGGATCCGGAAAGTCCAACTTCATGGACGCCATCAGTTTCGTGATGGGCGAAAAGACAGCAGTTTGCGAGTGAAGCGCCTCAACGACCTGATCCACGGTTCCTCCATAGGCAAGCCCATTTCCCGCAGCTGCTATGTGACGGCCAAGTTTGTGCTCAATCAGGACCGCCACATGGATTTCCAGCGGGCCGTCATCGGCGGCTCCTCGGAGTACCGCATCAACGGAGAGGTACGTTTGAAAACCTAATTATCCCTTTGGCAGCCATCTAATCTCCTCACCCCCCTTTAGAGCGTTTCGAGCAGCACCTACCTGAACAAGCTAGAGAAGATTGGCATCAATGTCAAGGCCAAGAACTTTCTGGTCTTCCAGGGAGCTGTGGAGAACATAGCCATGAAGACGCCCAAGGAACGCACAGCTTTGTTTGAGGAAATCAGCGGGTAATTATTAACTTAAAACTATAACTTTTGGTTGCCCTTAACTGTGTTCGCTCTTTGCAGATCTGGCCTGCTCAAGGACGACTACAATCGCCTGAAACAGGAAATGATCGTGGCCGAGGAGGAGACGCAGTTCACATACCAAAAGAAAAAGGGCATCGCGGCGGAACGCAAGGAGGCCAAGCACGAAAAGATGGAAGCCGATCGCTATACCCGCCTGCAAAACGAATACGTATGCATCGCTTTCCTCATAATCCAAACCCTTTTGTAATCGCCTTTGATTCCCACAGAACGAGAAACAAGTTGAATATCAACTGTTTAGACTCTTCCACGTGGAGCGGGACATCCGGAAGTTCACAGCCGATTTGGAGGTGCGGCAGCAGGACGTGAAGGCAGTCGAGCAGCGAAAAGAAGCTGCCGACGAAATCCTGCGCGAAAAGAAGAAAGATGCCGGTAAGATAACTCGAGACCTAGCCAAAATCGACCAGGAGATACGCGAGTTTGAGACCCAGATGAACAAACGGCGGCCACTGTACATCAAGGCCAAGGAAAAGGTTACGCACTGCAAGAAGAAGCTCGCTTCGCTGCAGAAGACTCTGGAGACGGCCCGCGAGGCGGACAATGCTCACCAGTCGGACATCCGGAAACTAGAGAAGCAGCTCGCCGATGTGGAAGCTCTGAAAAAGCGTTTCGAGGACGAGATCGAGAACGAATCACAGCGGCGGGGCAAGAGCGTCAACATGGAGGAGGGCCTCGTGCAAGAGTATGATCGCCTGAAGCAGGAGGCGGAAGCCACAGCCACCCAGTACCGTTCCGAGCTGGACTCAGTGAACCGGGAACAGAAGTCCGAACAGGACACGCTCGATGGCGAAACCAATCGACGCGCCTCCGTAGAGGAATCCTTCAAGAAGCTCACCTTGCAACGCGAAGAAGCTGTAAAGCGTCGAGATAAACTGATGGATCATATAAATCCTCACAGGCGGCTCTTGAAGAGCAGAATCGGATAAAGGACGAACTCCGCCGCGATGTTGGCACCTCTAAGGAGAAGATTGCCGAAAAACAACGCGAGCTGGAGGACGTGCGTGACCAACTGGGCGATGCCAAGAGCGATAAGCACGAGGATGCGCGGCGAAAAAAGAAGCAGGAGGTGGTAGAGCTGTTTAAAAAGCAGGTTCCAGGCGTTTACGACCGCATGATCAATATGTGTCAGCCCACGCACAAGCGCTACAACGTGGCCGTCACCAAAGTGCTGGGCAAGTTCATGGAAGCCATCATTGTGGACACCGAAAAGACAGCCCGACATTGTATTCAGGTTGGTTCTATTTGCCTAGCAGCGTTTTAAGTTAACTAATCATTATATTTGTCCAATAGATCTTAAAGGAGCAAATGCTGGAAGTGGAAACCTTCTTACCCTTGGACTATCTGCAAGTGAAGCCCTTGAAGGAACGCCTTCGCAACATCAGCGATCCTCGCAATGTGCGCTTGGTCTTCGATGTGCTCAAGTTTGAGCCGCAAGAGATCGAACGTGCCGTCCTCTTCGCACGGGCAATGCTCTCGTCTGCGAGACTCCCGAGGATGCAATGAAGGTGGCCTATGAGATTGACCGCTCCCGTTTCGATGCTCTGGCCCTGGACGGAACATTCTATCAGAAATCGGGTCTCATTTCCGGCGGCAGTCACGATTTGGCGCGCAAGGCCAAGCGTTGGGACGAGAAGCACATGGCCCAGCTGAAAATGCAGAAGGAACGACTCCAAGAAGAGCTTAAGGAGCTGGTTAAAAAGTCGCGCAAGCAGAGTGAGCTCGCCACTGTGGAATCGCAGATCAAGGGTTTGGAGAATAGGCTTAAATATAGCATGGTCGACTTGGAGTCTTCCAAAAAGTCAATTGGTCAGTATGACAGCCAGTTAAAGCAGGTGCAAACCCAGCTGGATGATTTCGGGGTGAGTTCCGTTTTAAATCTACCTTAAATTTAAATAACAATTGTGTGAATCCTTATGCTACAGCCCAAGATCAACGAGATCGAGCGTCGTATGCAAAACCGCGAGGAGCATATCCAGGAAATCAAAGAAAACATGAACAATGTGGAGGACAAAGTATACGCGTCCTTCTGCCGCCGCCTGGGTGTAAAGAACATCCGTCAGTACGAGGAGCGAGAGCTGGTCATGCAGCAGGAGCGAGCCCGGAAGCGGGCCGAGTTCGAGCAGCAGATAGATTCCATTAACTCGCAGCTGGACTTCGAGAAACAAAAGGACACTAAAAGCATGTACTTGAGAATCATATATTGAACCAATTTAATCAATTGACTTGCAGAGAACGTTGAGCGTTGGGAGCGCAGCGTGCAGGACGAGGAAGATGCCCTGGAGGGACTCAAAACAGCTGAGGCACGCTACCTCAAAGAAATAGACGACGACAAGGAGAAAATGGAAAAGTTTAAGCAGGAGAAGCAGGCCAAGAAGCAAGCCGTGGATGACATGGAGGAGGACATATCCAAAGCGCGGAAGGATGTGGCAAACTTGGCCAAGGAGATCCATAACGTGGGCAGCCATTTATCTTCGGTAGAGTCGAAGATCGAGGCCAAGAAAAACGAACGACAGAACATACTGTTGCAGCGAAAGTGAGTGTCGTTACTCAGCTTTAAAACCATGATTGTAATATTCTATTCTTTCGCTTCAGACCGATTGCATAGTGGTGCCATTGTTGCGCGGCTCGCTGGACGACGCAGTGCGGCAAAGCGATGCGGATATCGCATCCACCTCTGCGGCAGCAGCAATGGATAATCTGTAAGCTCTCCAATAATAGTTTGAAAATTCCATATTTAAAATATTACCTCATCCATAGCATCGAGGTCGATTATGGATCGCTACCAAGAGAGTACACCAAGCTGAAGGATGACTCTGGGTTCAAAAAGACCCACGAGTTGCTTCAAAAGGACCTGCAAAGTAAATTGGACGTCCTGGAGCGCATACAGACGCCAAACATGAGGGCCATGCAGAAGCTGGACGCCGTAACGGAAAAAGTGCAATCCACCAACGAGGAGTTCGAGAATGCGCGTAAAAAGGCCAAGAAGGCCAAGGCGGCATTCGAGCGGGTCAAGAACGAGCGGTCCTCTCGCTTCGTTGCCTGCTGTCAGCACATCTCGGATGCCATCGATGGCATTACAAGAAACTGGCTCGCAACGAGGCAGCCCAGGCCTACATTGGACCCGATAATCCCGAGGAACCATATCTGGATGGTATCAATTACAATTGTGTGGCGCCCGGCAAACGTTTCCAGCCCATGAACAACTTGAGTGGTGGCGAGAAAACCATCGCCGCCTTGGCTCTGCTCTTTCCACCCACAGGTAGTTGAAATTGTATTTGAATATGAATTGAAAATTCTATTACAAGTTTTTTAATCTTTAGTTATCAACCAGCGCCGTTCTTTGTGCTCGACGAGATTGATGCCGCCTTGGACAACACGAACATTGGCAAAGTCGCTTCGTACATAAGGGATCACACGACCAATCTGCAGACCATCGTCATATCCTTAAAGGAAGAGTTCTATGGCCATGCTGATGCCCTTGTGGGCATTACACCTGGGGTAGATATAAAGTGGCTTAATCCAGACACTTGTTAAATTTGTTTACTTTTCAATTTCAGGAAGGAGACTGCCTCGTATCAAATGTTTATATAATGGACTTGACAGAGTTCGAGGACACGTAAATATCATATTTCGAATAGTTTTAAGCACTAGATGTTACTCGTAAAGTAAAGCTCGCAATTTCCAATTAATAAAGCCAGTAAATGTGTAATATCTCCAGTGTCCATCAGAATTCGGAACAATTTTCAATTTGATCCGTCGTACGCCAAAAATGATAGGAATTACCACGTTGTTTTGAAAATAGGTTCTGCAACTTTAATAGTTTCCTTTATTTTGGGCTTGCGTTGGTTGTACTGTACCGGAGAAAGTTTAAGGGAGAGATAAATGTTCGAATGTGTGAAATTGTGGTTCGAATGATAGCTGTGGTGGTGGTATATGTAAAACAACTGGGTTTTTGCTTTTAGTTTCAATTTTTAGTTTTTCTCTTTTTTTTTCTTCACGTAAAAAACTTTTTGTATTTCTTCAAGAACAAAAACAAACAATTTGATTATTCAGTTTCGGTTTGTATCATTAATTTAAAATAATCATTGCAAACAGATAAATACAGTATCGGCTAGTTAGTGTGTCAGTTTCATAGATTCATTATCATGGTGTGTTGGCTGCCTGCCGGCTATGGCGATAATCGATAAGGCTACAATACAAGGGCACGCCTGTGGGAGAGGTGGTCCAATTGCAATCGTTCGGGAGATTAAGATAAAAGGGTTCGGTAAATTAATACAAAATAAACTAAGTTAGATTGCGATAGCCAGATTGGAGAGGCTTCAGTTTAGGCAGTTAGGGGGACTTTGATTTTCTTTAATTGGGAATGCCTAATTTAAACTTTATACATACAAACTAAAATATTTATGGCGTTTCATATATACACACACTTTGTAAACTCGTTTAAAATACAAAGATTTGTCTCATTAGCGCTTAAATATTAATTTGCCTTTCTATGGTGTTTGATGTTCGGGATCTGGGGCGGCTGAGCTGGGAGCCACTCCTGCCCTCGTTGTTGATGTGGGTCGATCTGGGTTGTGGGTTCGATTCCGATGGTGTTCTGATGTTCTGTTGTGTCCACGATGGTTCCTTGTGCTTGGGGTTGGTGTAACGTTTGTCTGTGCTGTCGATGAACTTGTGACTGTTGCTGCTTTCACTAGCGACTTATATTATCTGTTTGTGTAATTATTGTTTTTGTTTTTCTTTTGTTTATAGTTATTTACTGAATTTCAGCTTTTCAATGGGCCTTTATTACTGCAAAATAAGAAAATAATTTCGGTTTTTTGATTAGTGGATGTGTGCTTGTCAATTGACCATGTCAATTCCCGTCCCTGTTCCCAAACCATTAACATTTCAAAATCACAAATGTCTTGCTCTTCGGAGACTTTTAATCATGACCTTCCATATCTTGAATTGAATGAGTAACGATTTCGATTAAACAGATTCCCCAGTTTTCGATTTCGACGCCTGGGCCTGCGTGCGGTACAGGTTGGATAGGTGATGGATTAGTAAGGAAGAATCTAATTTTCAGTTGTAGAAAAATATAACAAAAATTCAGTTCTAAGATCTTGAAAAATTATAAAATAAACAAAAATTCCACATGAGTTATATTTTTGGTATATTTTTTACAACAAATCTAGTCTAAGTTCATACTATACAGGTATAATAGGGTTATAATGCGATACTCGAAATCCATACTTACATTGAAACATATTTAAGGCTATCACAGTGTATCTTATACTCCATTGCCGTTGTTAGAGGTATATTTAATATCCTGCGTAACGTATCACGGATACGTGTTGTACTGGTCATATCAGTGGCAGTCCGGTTCCATACTGATAAGCTATCCTCCTGCAGATGAAACGAATTATGAGTAGGGCAGACAAATGATATAGTTATTGAGCCTGAGAGAAACCATGCGAATCGGGGGACAATCCTTTTACATAATATAATAAAAACACATTTCGTTGCTTTTTTGTTTAATAATTTTTATTTCTCAATCAATATGTAAGGAAATCATTTCACACGTCTGACCAATTGGAAATGAAAAAATAATAATAATAATGGTAATAAGAAACACACTTGATATTAACACAAAGGCAAATCTAAGTTCTTAATTTAAGTTTTGTTTTTCTCATTTCGATTTGGTTTCTTTGCTGGTTTTTATTTTTAATTTGTTTTCACTTTTTTTTTTGCTGTTACTGTGCTTTCTTCACATTTCTTTCGTCGGCTGCTGTTCCATGAATTTCTTTTTCTGCTTTTATCTTTTTTTAATTATTAATCATATATTTATTTATATATAAGACTAACACTTAGGTATAATGTTTGTTTTTCATTATTTTTCATAATTAACTAAATTGTCTAAGGAGAGAGAAAATATATGATAATATGCAATTTGTTTTTGTTACGGATTTTTGTTTGTTTTTAATTAATTTGTTTTTTTTTTTTGCTTTTGTTATTATATTATTTAAACATTTTTAACAATTATGAGTATTTGCTCAAAAACTTGACTTGAACCGCCTTCTGTAGCATTTTTAGCACGGCTTCGTTTCGTGTGGTTTTGTTAGTTGAATTTTGATTTCCTTTTAAGTAGGTTTTACTGTGGTGTGTGCACACAAAACTAAATTGTTTCTTATTTCGCCACTAAAGTTTGTCGCTCGCCTTCACTCGCTTTTAAATGGATCGTTATTTCGTATCGACTTGTTATATACGCATATATAATGTTTATAATCGGTTTACATATGTGTGTATATATAGGTGTAGCATTAATTTTGTGTGGCTGTGTCAGTGTGGTGTTTTAAACGCTTGTTAAATTGCACATTGATATTTTAATATTTTGTAAATATTAAACTTTACTTCGTTTGGTTTTCATTCTTCGCTAAATTATTTGGACTATCTTCGGTATATATGTTTGTATGTATGTATATTTTATATATGCTAATTTGTAACTATAATTAAAATATATGTATAAATATTTTTTATTCATGTTAGTTCTTGACTTTCTTGGTTGTTTTTTTTATCATACTTGGAAATATACTTTCATTATTGCTTCTTGAATATACATATGTGAATCCCGTTAAGTATTTATTTGTTCGCTTTCGTCCTTTATTGTGTTTGTGTGTGTAGTATCTCTGTGTGTGTGGTGGTTGCTTCTTCATCCTGTTTGTCTTCGCTCTCTGATCCCGAATTGTTTATCTTTGCTTGTTATTGCCATCAGTTTTGGTTGCCGATTTCGCTGATTGCTGTCGTCTGAGTGCTGAGTAAAAATGCTTCGATATGCCTGGAATTATTGTTGCAATTGCTGCTCCCAATGCACGACACATCCACCAAAAACAAAAACTCGCTGAAGCTACTTCTATCTATCCCTTTCGCTCTCCTGATCTCAAGCCTTGTGTGTGAGTGAGTCTGCTTGTGTTTCGACGGTTGCTTTCCTCTTCTAAAGGCTGCCTGCAAGTTGACGGTGGCAACCCTATGCAAGTCAGAGTTGCATGTGATGCTTCATATACCATTCCGCTCGTTCATTATCCACCTTCACTGTTCATTGTTTTTTTCTTTTTGAATTTTATTCAATTTTAAAGTACAATTGCACGAGTGTGTCTTGTTGCACTCTCGTCACTAAGAATATATATATTTTTTTGGTTTTTTCTCTGGCGGTTGTTATGGAAATTGATTTGATTTGTTACTAATTATTCATATATAGATTTGTATATATATGCGTATGTATATATAAATAGTCCAAATTATGTTAATTTTAAAATTCTAATTTTTATTAATTGAACTTTTGCGCTTAAATTTAGCAATTCATTTGTTATCCATTTTTTTGGTTTTATTTTCTTTTTTATTCGTCCACGAATCAATAATGACAAAATGAAACAAATTATAGAAAAAATATATATAATTGTCTGTATTTATTGCGGAGCCAAAACTTAAAAATATATTAGACAAAAATTAAAGCTAAACATATAAATAACAAGATAACTAAATAATAGAACCTAGAAACTTCCTTATTATTTTTTTATTTTTAATTTTTAAGGGGTTTGTTTTGAGCTTGAGGTTTGAAGATACTCAAAATTCAATTCTTCGTATAAATTTCTCATTTAAATTTGTTTTGATTGGTGAAAAGTGGAAGAAATGCGATTCAAGTAGAAAAACTAAATGTTTTCTTCTTTTATTCCCGGAAATAGTATTAATATTATAAGATAATTTCGTATCTTCCTTCGTTCTTGCTCTCTGTCAATATTTTACAAACTTTTCGTGTTTGAGCGGAGAGGGGGACGTGCTTTTATACAAGTTTAGAAACGAACACATTTACGTAGATATAGAATAACCATTAGTGTGTGGGTTGCCCCCCTCCCCAGGGGTATATAGATATATTGATCTGAAGAATGCTGGGTAACAAGAAGAACACCAAGGCCCAGGCTTGAGTAGGGTTGGTTTAAGGCCCAAAATGTTTCCTAGACGAAGCAAAGCGCTCTTTTTATGTTTACATAGATGAAGATATAGCACACACATAATAAATAACTAAAAGATCTCGAAAATGGGGTTCTACGCTTTTGCTTTTATATACGCACAACATTTACATAGAATTTGTAATTTATATATGTATAATTTGTTTTTATATAATTAGGTATATGGGGTAATCTAAGTCCGAAAAATCATTTTACATATTCATTTTTAGTAGAAAAACGCAGTTTTATCTCGTGTATACAGCAAAGTTATTTTGTTTTCTCTTTTTCTTGCTATATTTGTTTAATTATTATAATTTAAATTTAATTCGAAAAATCTACTTAGTGAAATTTGTTACGTTGGTTAACAGTTTTGTATATTTCATTTTTTCGGTTTAATTTGCTTTAGGTTTCTTGTTTATCGATTGATTTATATATATAACATCACATTATAATAATTACTAATTAATAGATTTGCCCTCCGCTCGTTCGTCTCATTTTTTTAATATTTTTTAATCATAGCATTTGCGAGATGCACAATTATGAAATTTCGTAATAAATATTAGATTTATGTTTACAATTTTTCCGCTTTTCAAGGTTTACCGCTGACATTGCCTGACGCAAAGGCCAACGTAGACCACAATAATAATTATAATGACTATTTACATGGAAAATCTAACGAATATAAATCGAACGAATCTGATTTAGCATCTGTGTGTTCAAGTGTAGGTGTCTGTAGGCCTATTCTTTCGCTTCTAAGTGGTAAATGGTAGATGGTAACATGGCAACACGTGCTAACGGGGCACAAAGGGTTAAGGGTGGGGAAATTAAATTAAGGCCAGCACTTCCACTCCACTCCACTCCTCTTCTGCCACACTGCCTCTCATTTACAGCAAATAAACTTGATGGAATTTAATTTGTGTGAACACCGAAAACGCTCCACCACTCGTGGGTTCCATTAATTTTGGCCCAGACCAGACCATCCAGACTTTCCAGACCAGGCCTGTCTTAATTAGAGCCACCGCTCTTCGCCGCTTTAAGGGATGGTATGAGGTCCTTTTTGGCTTTCCCTTACTTCTGGCTACGTGACTCCCGGGCTCCTCCGCTCATTAGTATGCATTGGGCGGCTGGCTGCGTTGGGTTCTTTTATCTAGAGCGAGAAATATACGGAAGTGTTAAATGATTATCAAACTGAAGCTGCGGCAAATTGTTATACTCTCTCTACGCTTCTTTCCAAGGGAAATTTTCGAATGAAAAGCGTTGCAAACACGTCCTGGCAATGGCAATGCGACAAACGAGGAGCGGAAATAAAAATTCGCATGTGCACGTGTTTAAGGTGCAAGGCAGTGCACTCAGCGAAAAACGAAGTTGTTTAGTACATGAAAAACTATAAAAGCTGAAAAAACATTTCCAGGGATGAAATACAGTTGAACTGTTTAAACTTGCACTTGTAACGACGATGGCAACCCTAGGCAAAACAGAGTTGCATGTGACGTTTCATACGATTCCACTCGTTCCTTTTTCACTGTTCCATTTATCTGTTCATTTTCTTCTTTTCTTGAAGGAAATAGATTATGGCAGGTTTCAATATTGTAACAACTGTGAAATCTATCAGTAATTTCCCCTGTGCATGTCGGCAAAGGAAGGTCCAGCAACAGGAAGTGGAGCTCATGCCACACACACACTCTCCCTCCAACCCATTCACACCCACCTAGAGTCCTGGCCTTGCCATTGTCTCTAGTCGAAGGTCAGATGATGTTGGAACCACCGAACCACCGAACCCACCGACCACAAAACGACTTTAGCCTCGAATGCTTTTTGCATGCGTGTGCGCCACTCAAGTGGCTCATTATGACCAGCTGCTCACAAATACCCAGGCAGAGGAGCTCTGTGGCCCCCAACCAGGACACATGGACACACATTCATCGCCTACTTGAAGTGTGGCGCGTGTTAGAATTTCATTAGACCGATGGCGAACAACAAAAAACATTTTCTATTTATTCAATTTGGCTTTAGGCAACCAAGACGAAAACGTCAGAGAAACAGAAGCCACTGTGGTTCTTGTTGTCTGGCTGATGACATCAGCTAGAATCGCGATATCTTACGACCACCCACTGACCACCATCGACATCAAACATCATCCCACTCGCAGAGAGAGAAAAATGCATGTGAATGGGCATCAAATGGAGATTTTTCTATATTTAAAAAGGGTTTCCTAATAACTTTAAAATTATCCAAAAGATCCCTCATCATTTAGGTCCTAAGACCGATAAGTTCAAGTGACAACTTAGTTTCCACCCTTTTTTCTCAGTGTGGAAATCGACAAATTTGCGTCACTGCATTGGCCCTCCCTTTTTTTGGCCTGACCCCCACACAATGTTTAAAAATAGTCGCCATCCCACGATGTCGCCTTGCAATTGATCTCTCTGATTGCGAGGCAAAAGGTCAGATATAGAAACAGCATTAAACTCAATCATTCATCAATATTGCACGGCATTCTGGAAAAGCGATTTCAGTTTGTATCCCAGTTGTTGGACAGGTGAAATCATTTTTGCCCCCTCCAGTTTCAGTTGAGAATGCTGCAGCAGTTGGTGGGTGGATTTAACACGACCTTGACATATAGTAACCTCCAATTTCTCTCTCATTCATAACTGCTATTTAAATTCAAGCATGTGGTTAGCCAAAAACCACATTTCCGTTTCCCTCAAGACTGCGGCCAGAGTGTTTCTAGTTTGAGTTTACTTTTAATGCTTAATGCTCATTAGAGAAGTTTCTTGTCTTAATGGTACTTGTTCGAGAAACTTGCATTAAAAGGCAGTTAAGTGCGAGAACTCGAAATCCGCAAAATGCCAAAACATATGAATTATGAACTCAACAGTTAAGGGTATTAAAATATCCTACCTTCTTGCATTCAGATAATCGGTATTAAGCATTTATTACTTTATCAAAACTCGTAAGTTTGCCAATTATAAATATTTATTTGCTCAAAGGCAGCTGTGCTTAAATCAACAATATGATATTTGTAATAAATACCGCAAAAACAGGATAATTTGATGCTGTTTGCGAGGAGGACACACAAACCGGAGGACATAATATGTCCTCGTTAGGCTGTGTGGGTGGAAATGATATACATAAATCGCTGAGAATCAATTTGAAATGTCAAAAGCCAACGGGGCTGAGCTGCTGTGCTTGTGCCAGTGCCAGTGCCTGCCATTTGGAGACTAGGCCTGAAATAGCAACAGCCAGAGCAGCAAATTGAATTGAACTAGAGCCAACAAACTGAGTAGGAGGAATGGCAGGGGGTTTGGGTTGGGTTTGGGTTATAACCGAAACTGGCACTTAAAATCCGAGTGACGTGCCGAGCCCGGATGGGTCGTAAAAGCTAACGCAGCGCCAGACAAGACCGAGATAGATGGAACCTATAGATGGAACCCTAGCATCCCATACCCCCACAAAGATCCCCGATAACCCCGATGGCCATCGCCAATCTTCAATGCCGCCACTGACGCGACTGACTTTGACATGACAGTTTAATTGAGGGACAGCTCCTACCAACCCAGAGGGAAAGCCAACCAGCCAACCAACCAAGCAACCCTACTATAACCCACAGATTCCTCCCTTTCCTCCCTCTGAAAACAAAGGAAACACAACGCTCTCAAAAAGTATGCAAATTAGTTCATCTCCCTTTGAGACAACAACCAACGATTGGAGATTGAAGCGCAATGTTTGCCTTTTCGCCCAGATCCTTTGGGAAGCAGCTCAGACCCTTGACAAAATTTAACATTTATGATTTCAGTTTCACTTGGGTGAAAGTGAACAAACAGAAATCGAAAGTGCTGAACCAGACAAGTAGTTTCTAAATTGTATTAATATTAAAGGAGACTAGGATTTATTAAATAACAACCAACTTATTTAGAGCTATCTTACAGGTTTTCAAGACTTTTTAAATATATCCAGTTAGTTAGTCAAAATATAAGTAAGTATCATAAGGCTATAATCAAGATTATACAAATTCTGGATGGAATGTTGTATTTTAGGAAAATCTGTTGGCTATTTGTATTTGTATTCAACAAGTCACCAGGAATCAGTTTCTGCTCCAATGAAATAATTACCGGGAAAAGGGAGCTTAACCTTGCAGACAAACCCTCCTCAACGTCTTATTTTAACTAAAATTTGTTTATGGAATTGCAAACAAATGCCAGATGAAAGCTGGCATGGCATTTGTCCCACCGAGGCAAGTTAATCGGTCAACTTCAGGCGGGCAATCGAGCAGCAAGAACAAAGGGTCTACAAAAGGCGCAGGAGCCGGTGATAATGGTGGGAATTTTGATGGTCATCCATCAGCGAAACGAGACAGCACTGGATGGGGGCAGGAATGGTCAGGGAGGAGCTGGTCGGAACAGAGCATTAGGACAAACCGCAGGAGCAAATTGCCTGGGCGAGAGATGTTGGCAAAGCTGATGGCACAGGACACGTGCTGTAACCCCATGTAACCCATAACCCGTAGACCATAGACCATAGCCCACTGTGCCGCTCTCCTCCGAACTTGGCGCATGCTGGGGATTTGTGGTCTTTCAGGTGGGAGTTGAGTGGGTTGACGGGTATAAGTGGGGGTGGTGAGTGGGTGTCGGCTGACTGTGTATGTGTGTGGCTGGCTGGTTTGTGCAGGTGGCGGCACTGGGATTCCATCACTATTTATGTGGCTCGCTTACGCAAATCCTCTGCTCGAATGCTGACCAGCCAGGACATCATCAGGACTACGGGGGTCGGCTGCATGGGTAATGCAGCATGTAACTCAATCAGGGGCGTGGCAGGACACGCCCACACGGCCACACATTGATTTCGCAGTTTACGGGGGTGGAGATGAATGGATGCCCGGCTGCAAATTGAACCATCAAGGACTCCAGCAGCCCCCATTGCAAATTGCGTCCGACAGTCAACAATGGGAATAGGTGGTATAAGGTTGGTATAAAGGAGAGCATTAAGAACTGCAGTTCATTTTAAAATATATATTTAACCAAAATACAGTCTATATATATAAAACTCTGGTTCCAATTTAAGACGCAATGTTAAGCTCTGCCACAGTAAAGCTATAGTTGAAAGTGTTACCATATATTCTTACTCAAGAGTAGATTTGGCTAAGACGATTTAAAAAATAATGCAAGCCTAGTACATATTTCCATAAGTAAACTCTCTTCCTTTTGGAATGCATTTAGCACCACTTATGCCTGCATATATAAAGTCACACACTTTGTGTGGGCTGTGCAGATAGAGTGCATCCCACATAAATGCAAATTAGAGCTGGCGGCAGGTGTGGTGTCCCCCCTCATCATCATAAACGTCATCATCCAGATTATCGTCATCATTACACATTTCGGAATTGCATAGAGAATGTGGATGGATTTACATACATTTCTTTGGGCCTGCCATGCAGCGACAATCACATAATGGCCATAAGTGATGAGGAACACGAAATGCCCACGTCCCTCATTTTTCGCCTCTTTTATATCCCCCTGCACATCCTGCACATCCTGCTTTATCCTCGACTTTCACGTTCTCCATTAACGTTAAAATGTATTGCCTGCTTATAGGCGCGTGTGGTTAAGTGACAGCAAAGGATAAGGATGTGGGGGTGGATGAGTATATGGCCTCTTGACTGGGCCACCAGAATAAACATCAAGGAGTACCTCCTTTGAAGGCCACATAATGTAGATATTGGTTAGGATAGGCAAAATAAATATCATCTCATCTCAAATCACAAAGGAACACACTTCATAGCATACTTTTTGACACCATTTTTTAAAGGAATTACATCTTTTGAAATGGAAAACGCTTCATTTACTGCTGTCTCACAGTACGCATACATAATTTCTTGTATCCTTCTCGATTACCAAACATTTGAATGACAATTATTATATGATATGCCTTTTGAATATCCATTTCACTTGCCTCTTTTCATGCCAACTTGTTTTTGAGTATCTGCAGCTCGGATTACCACTGTACTCTGGGTGATGCTCGAGTACTTGGCCAACTTCTTGTCTGTTGGCAAAGTGGCAGAGGAGCCCAACAGAACCGAACAGGACAGCAATGCAGATAAGATGGCCGGAGGAACGACAGCGGGGATAAAAACTATCTCTGACAACAATGGCT